CCCAGAATCCTAGCATTTTGGGAGGCTGAGGCAAGTGGATCACTTGAGGTCAGGAGTTCAAGACCAGCCTGGCCATCATGGTGAAACCCTGTCTCTAGTAAAAATACAAAAAACTTAGCTGGGCATGCTGGCCTGCGCCTGTAATCCCAGCTACTCAGGAGGCTGAGGCAGGAGAACTGCTTGAACCCAGGAGGCGGAGGTTGCGGTGAGCCGAGATCTCATCACTGAACACAAGCCTGGGCAGCAGAGCGAGATTCCGTCTCATTAAAAAAAAAAAAAAAAAAAAAGTTAACCAAGCTTGTGGCCTGGAGAGGTGGCTCATGCCCCTCATGCCTGTAATCCCAGCACTCTGGGAGGCCACGGTGAGCAGATCACCTGAGGTCAGGAGTTCGAGACCAGCCTGGCCATCATGGTGAAACCCTGTCTCTAGTAAAAATACAAAAAACTTAGCTGGGGATGGTGGCGCGTGCCTGTAATTCCAGCCACTCAGGAGGCTGAGGCAGGAGAATCGCTGAGTAATCGCTGAGTCACGCAAAGACAGACGGCAAAGAGTCAACTCTGTTCTCCCTGCCTCGAGGGTTTTCTCGTTCTCCATCAGCTAAAGGAGCACCCCCCTCAAGCAAAATTCCAGCAGTTTACAGGCTGGGTGGGGAGGTCTGCACCCGCAATCTCAGTGCTTCGGTAGGCCAGGAGTTTGAGACCAGCCTCAGCAACAGAGCGAGACCACCCCCAACCCCCTGTTTCAAATATATATATTTGGAGTCTTGCCCTTTTGCCAGGCTGGAGTGCAGTAGCATGATCTTGGCTCACCGCAACCTCCGTCTCCCGGATTCAAGCGATTCTCCCGCCTCAGCCTTCGGAGTAGCTGGGATTACAGGCGTGCACCACCACACCCCGCTAATTTTATATTTTTAGTAGAGACGGGGTTTCCTCTTGTTGGCCAGGCTGGTCTTGAACTCATGACCTCAGGTGATCTGCCCGCCTCGGCCTCCCAAAGTGCCGGGATTATAGGCATGAGCCAGAAGCTTCCGTGCATTCTGTTGGGTTCAGTTACTCTCGCCCCCATTTTCCAGAGTGGGCAGCTGAGGCGTGGGGGCTTTCCACGGGCCGCCCGGGTCTGATCCTGGCTTTGCTCGCCTGCTTTCCGCCTCCACCGTGACCACCCTCAGATCTAAGGAAGCTTCGGGGCAGCCTCAGGAACCCTCGCTGCCCCCACCTCTGTCATCCCGGGCCTGGGTCACACAAGATCAAGGAAGCTTCTGGTACTTGACATTCTCCACCCCACCCCGTGGCTGGACTGCGGCCATCAGGACATCTGATCTCTGGCCGGGGGAGGGGGGACGCAGGCTTGGCGTCAGGGGGCAGCTGGCGACGGGCTGGGGGTATCAAAGCCTGCGAGGCTCTCTCCTGACTCCTCCGTCCTACCCCGAGGGCCGGAGCTTTCATCGGCCTTCCTGACATCTCTAAACTGCCTTCTCTGATGTTACCCCCATGTCCAACCCCCACTCTTGTGGGGCACATGTCTCCTCCTGTGGCTTCCCCATGCTCGCAGCTGAGGTTTGCACTTGGAACAAGCTGCTCCCCATCTCCCACTAGACTTCTTAATCTGATGCAGTCCCACCCTCCCTCTAACCCCTACCATGGCTCCCTAGTGACCTCAGGGTAATGTCCCAACTCCTCACCTGCCATGTAACCGTGCTTCTCGGTCTGACTCCTCCAACCCTGTGCCTGATGAGGGGAACTGGGAGGGGGCATCCCTGTCTCCCCTCCAAAGTAGGGGCTTCTCAGTAGGAGGTCAGACCTAGGTCCTGGTCACCCCACAAAGTCGGGGCTAGGAAATGGTAGCTGGCTTCAAGGGGACGAAAACAGAGGCCAGGTGCCAAGGCTCACACCTGTAGTCCCAACACTCTGGGAGGCTGAGATGGGAGGATCACTTGAAGTCAGTGGGTCAGGACCAGCCTAGGGAAAATGGTGAGGCAGCATCTCTACAAAAAATTAAAAAATATGTTCGGTGGCCGGGCGCGGGGGCTCACGCCTGTAATCCCACCACTTTGGGAGGCCGTGGCAGGTGCATCACTTCAGGTCAGGAGTTTGAAACCAGCCTGGCCAACATGGTTAAACCCCGTCTCTACTAAAAATACAAAAATTAGCTGGGCATGGTGGTACATGCCTGTAATCCCAGCTACTCGGGAGGCTGAGGCAGGAGAATTGCCTGAACCCAGGAGGCGGAGGTTGCGGTGAGCCGAGATCGCGCCATTGCACGACAGCCTGGGTAACAAGAGCGAAACTCCGTCTCAAAAAAAAAAAGAAAAAAAAAACTGCATTGGGGTATGGTGGTTCATACATGTAATCACAGCACTTTGGGAGGCCAAGAATTTCGAGAACAGCCTGCACAACATGGCGAAACCCCGTCTCTACTAAAAATACAAAAAATTAGCCGGGCGTGGTGGCGGGCGCCTAGAATCCCAGTTACCCGGGAGGCTGAGGCAGGAGAATTGCTTGAACCCGGGAAGTGGAGGTTACGGTGAGTCAAGATCACACCATTGCACTCCAGCCTGGGCAACAGAATGAGACACAGTCTCAAAACAGACACAGTCACAGTCACACACACACAGTCACAGTCACACACACAGACACACACACAGTCACACAGTCAGTCACACACACAGTCACACACACAGTCACACACACAGTCACAGTCACACACACAGTCACAGTCACACACACAGTCACACAGTCTCACACACAGTCACACACTCACAGTCACACACAGACACAGTCACACACACAGTCACAGTCACACACACAGTCACACACACACAGTCACAGTCACACACACACACACGGCCACAGTCACACACACAGAGTCACACACACACACACCCCAGCAAAAGGACAAGAATGTGGAGATCTATTGTTGCTTTGACCACACCCTGCCCCCCGCATTGTACCTACCCCAAGGGGAGGCAGGGACTGTGCTTGGTTCCTGACCTGCAAAGGAGGCTGGAAAACCAGTGGGCAGCCAGGCACCTGTCCTGCACACCAGGTGGCCTTCCGCAGCCAGGACACAAGCAACGACAGAGGTGGCGTGGAGCCGAGTTCATATCCCGCGTCTGCCTCTCGTTAGTCCCACGCCCGCCCGAGGACACGTCTGTGTGAGGATCAGTTTCCCCATCTGTAAGGGGCGTGAAGGCTGCACAGCATGCCTCACGTCTGTAATCCCATCTCTTTGGGACCAGTCTGGGCAACGTAGCAAGACTTCCATCTCTGAAAAAATTAGCCAGGTGTGGTGACATGCACCTGTAGTCCCAGCTACTTGGGAGGCTGAGGCAGGAGGATTGCTTGAGCCTGGGAGGCTGAGGCCGCAGTGAACTATGATCTCAGGAAACCATGGGTGACATAACGAGACTCTGCCTCAAAAACCCACTAGCCCACCGTTTTTTTCCATTCCTCATCTCCTACTTCACGCTCTATTATTTTACTTTGTTATTCATGTTTATTTTTAGAGGCAGGATCTCGTTCTGTCGCCCAGGCTGCAGCGCGGTGGCACAATCTTGGCTCACTACAACCTCCGTCTCCCGGATTCAAGTGATTCTCCTGCCTCAGCATCCTTCTAAAAAAAAGCCTCCTTCTAAATATATATATATATTTTGAGACAGGGTTTCGCTCTTGTTACCCAGGCTGGAGTGCAATGGTGCGATCTCGGCTCACCGCAACCTCCGCCTCCCGGGTTCAGGCAATTCTCCTGCCTCAGCCTCCCGAGTAGCTGGGATTACAGGCACGCACCACCATGCCCAGCTAATTTTTGTATTTTTAGTAGAGATGGGGTTTCACCATGTTGACCAGGATGGTCTCGATCTCTTGACCTCGTGATCCACCCGCCTCGGCCTCCCAAAGTGCTGGGATTACAGGCGTGAGCCATCACACCCAGCCAAATGTTCTATTTTTAGTAGAGATGGGGTTTCTCTATGTTTTCAGGCTCATCTTCAACTCCGCACCTCAGGTGATCCGCCTGTCTCGGCCTCCCAAAGTGCTGGGATTACAGGCATGAGCCACCGCGCCCAGCCTAACTTTTGTATTTTTAGTAGAGACAGGGTTTCGCCGTGCTGGCCAGGCTGGTCTCGAACTCTTGCCCTCAGGTGATCTGCCCGCCTTAGGCCTCCCAAAGTGCTGGGATTACTTACAGGTGTGAGAACCTGTTTCTATAATAAAAAGAGGAAAGAAGAGGAAAGGCTGCTGGACGCGGCGGAGGCCTCAGGTAGAGGGAACCACACGCAGCCCTTGGAGGACCTTGAAACCCTCGGTCCGGTGACCCGTTCGTGGGAGGACGCTGGTTGGAGGGGGAGGATCGTACCCACAGGCCCGGGAGTCACAGGCACCGCCTGACTCACTGCGCGCCCCGGGGCAACTCCGTTCCCGGCCAGTAAAATGGGAGGGAAATTTGCTCCAGCACGTGGGGCTCTTGGCAGGCAACGCTCGTTAAAGGCCAGGTGGTACTATTATGTCGATCACCCCTATTATTACCGTTTATAACCAATTAATTAGTGCTGCTGCCCGCTCTCCGCGTGCGATCGCGTCTCTCTAGGCCGGGAAGTCACCGGACCCCGGGCGCGCTGGGGCGCAGACTCCGCCACCCCGACCCCCACCCCAAACCCACTGCCCATCCCACGCGCTCCACCCTGGCCCGCAGTGGGCCTCGTCCAGCTGGGGGTGGCGCGGGCCTGGAGGCGGGGTCCGAGTGGGAGCCAGCTGTGCCCCGTCGTCCATTTCCTTCCAGAGTGTTTGGGGGGGCAGAGACTCACGCTGAGAGATCGGGGTGTCGCCCTCTTCTCGCGCGGGCGCTAGGACCGTGCGGGTGCCCGGTCCAAACAAGCCCTGCGGGCACGCCCCTCCCCTCTCCTCTCTCCTCGGCGATTGGCTGCGATTTCCCGGGGCGCTGCTGCGATTGGCGCAGATGCCGGGATCGCCCCGCCCCTCCCGGCCCGGCGCAGACTCCTAGCTCCAGGGCCCGGAGGCCTCAGAGGCGAGTGCGGGGCGGACGCGGCGGGTGCGGGCGCGGCCGGAAGAGAGCGGGGCGCGGGGTGCGCGGTGTCCGGCGCGTGCTGGGGTCCCCGGCGCCTCCCGCCACCGCACCCCGTGAGGCCCGGCCGGGGCACTCTCCGCGGAGCCCGGGACCCGCGATGGGCCCCGGACCCCCGGCGGCGGGAGCGGCGCCGTCCCCGCCGTCCCCGCCGTCCCCGCGGCCGCTGTCCCTGGTGGCGCGGCTGAGCTACGCCGTGGGCCACTTCCTCAACGACCTGTGCGCCTCCATGTGGTTCACCTACCTGCTGCTCTACCTGCACTCGGTGCGCGCCTACAGCTCGCGCGGCGCGGGGCTGCTGCTGCTGCTGGGCCAGGTGGCCGACGGGCTGTGCACGCCGCTCGTGGGCTACGAGGCCGACCGCGCCGCCGGCTGCTGCGCCCGCTACGGCCCCCGCAAGGCCTGGCACCTGGTCGGTAAGTGTCCCGGCCCCGCCACCTGTCTGGCAACCCCTCCGAGCGTGCCCGACCCGGGAGCCTCCTCCCTCTGACCCGCCTCTCGGTCTGTCAGCCCCGCGGCTGGACCGTCCCTGCACTGTCTGTCCTGGGCCTGAACCTTCCATATCTGTCTGTCTCTTGGCCTGAACCGTCTCTGTCACTCCCACCACCCAGCCCCCTCTGTCTGCCAGCGGGGGACCTAAGCCTCCCCTGTCTGTCTGCCCACCCCAGGAGCTGAGTCTTCACCTCTCTGTTCCGTGGCCTCGGCCCCCCTGCTGTGACTACCCAGTGCCCCCTCGGTGGTGTCACTCGTGACCCTCCCCTGCCTATCCCACCATCCAGCCTGAGCCTCCCCTGTCTTTCTGTCCCATGGCCTCCCCTATCGGACGGTGCAGGGCCTCCCCCATCTGTCTGACTGTGCAGGGCCCCACTGTCTGCCTGAGCCATGAGCCTCCCCCACCTGTCTGCTTAACTGCCTCGTGTTCCCTCTGGTGGCCCCTTGGCCCAGCCTCCCCCGTCTGTCTGCCTGAGCTGCTGTCTGATGCAGGACCCTGGCCATCTGACTGCCTGCCTTTCCAGGGTCAATTCCCTTGTCCGTGTGCCTCCTCCAGCCGCCCTGAACCCTCTGGAGGGTTGGTGGTGACTGCGCAGCGCCGCCTCTGTCAGTCTGTCCAGCCCGACCTTGTCTATTAGGGTGACCGACGAGGACAGCTATGGCTGAGGAGCGTCAGGCTGCCTGGAGCCCCCCCCCTCTGTCCATTCTGCCAGGGCACCCTCATGCATGGGCGGTTTTTGGGGAAGCTGCCCCGGGAGTTGAGAGTTGGGGACGCCTGGGTGGACTGGAGGGTCAGGGGTCTTTGCCTTGTTCTTGCCAGGGTCAGGGTCCTCCTAGGTCTTGGGGAGGCGCCCTGATTGGAGAGGGCTGTTGGGAGGGCAGGAGGCTGGCATCACGGGCTGGGTCACCCTGCCCCAGTGCCCCTCGATAAGACTGCAGGGCTGCCTCCCAGCGGCCCTCCTCTCCCCGCCCCGACCCTGGGACTGAAGATTAGCCACAACTTCCTTCCCTGCTCCTCTTGCCCTCGAAGAATTGCTGGCTGTGTCCTGGCATTTGGGGCATGTGGGGCAAGGAGGCAGGGCCAGGAAGCCTGCTCAGTTTTTGGAATTCCAGGCTGCAGCAGGGGCAGGCTGGTGCCTCCTCACCCTTGGGAGCAATGACGGAGTGGGTGGTGACCCCAGGCTCTGGGGAAGGGCAGGTTTTGCAAGAGGCAGTGGAGCTCCAGTGGCCTGAGCACTCCAGGCCCCGCAGAAGGCACAGCTTGGGGCTGGATTTTCATGTTTTCCATGTCCGGATTATTCCTGGGTCACCTGAAACTGGCAGACAGGGAGGGGACTGGCTGTCCCTTCCTTTTTGGTTACATTGCGATTGTTGCTGAGCGGAACCCAGGGCTTCAAACGCGTCTTTGATCATGATGTTGGATAAGCTCATGACAGACACACGGGACGATTGCTGGGCACCCAGGGCGGTGGCTCACGCCTCTCATCCCAGCACTCTGGGAAGCTACGGTGGCAGATCACCTGAGGTCAGGAGGTTGAGGCCAGCATGGACAGCATGGCGAAACCCCATCTCTATTAAAAATACAAAAATTAGCCAGGCGTGGTGGTGCGCGCCTGTGGTCCAGCTACTTGGGAGGCTGAGGCAGGAGAATCACTTGAACCGGGGAGGCGGAGGTTGGGGTGAGCCGAGATCACGCCGCTGCACTCCATCCAGCCTGGGAGACAGAGCAAAACTCCATCTCAAAGGAAAAAAAAAAACGCAAACAAGAACAAACAGAAAAAGCAACCGAAGGCTTTATGCTTTTCCAACGCGGGCCTGGGGTGCGGCGCTCCGGCCAGAGAGCAGGCTTCGCTCTCACCCTCTTCCCTGCCTGGGGGAGGGCACCTGCCCCGGGAGCTGAGAGTCGGGGGCCACCTGGGCGGGGCTGGAGGGTCAAGACGGTCTGGTGGGAGTGGAAGCCCAGGCAGCCGCTCTTGATGCCTGGTCAGGTGACGGCAGCGGAGCTCACCCTGACAGCGGCTCTCACTTCTCTAGTTAAAGACTCACCATGTCCTGGGGGACTCCCCGCCAATCCTGGGAAGACCCTCAGAGTCAGACACAAACACTCCCATGGGTGGGCACATGGCATGAGTGGGCTTCAGAAGGAAGAAGGACGTTAGCTTTGAGGTTTTGAAGGATGGGTAGGAGCGTGTGGAGGGAGGACGCATTCCAAATAGCAGAAAGAGCTGTGGAAAGGTAGGAACCGCCTTCACCTTGCAGCTGTGGAAGGAGGAAGTTGAGAGTAGAAGGAGCTTCTTGGTGCCACACGTCACTCCAGCCTGTGGGGCAGGAACTTACTTTTTTTTTTTGAGACGGAGTTTCGCTCTCGTTGCCCAGGCTGGAGTGCAATGGCGCGATCTCGGCTCACCGCAACCTCCGCCTCCTGGGTTCAGGCAATTCTCCTGCCTCAGCCTCCCGAGTAGCTGGGATTACAGGCACGCGCCACCATGCCCAGCTAATTTTTTGTATTTTTAGGAGAGACGGGGTTTCACCATGTTGACCGGGATGGTCTCGATCTCTTGACCTTGTGATCCACCTGCCTCGGCCTCCCACAGTGCTGGGATTACAGGCGTGAGCCACCGTGCCCGGCCCAGAACTTTCTTTTCTTGTTGAGATAGAGGGGTGGTTCCATGGGCGGCGTGGCCTCCCAGAGCGTCCCCAGCACGGGGCGAGTCCTGGCCGGCGGGCATCCCAGCAGGGCCCTGTGGCCTTCAGTGGTCTCCGGACCCGCTGCCCAGGCCAGATACCTGCAAAGAGTTACACCGGGGTCCCCAGGGGTCCCCAAAGGCAGCCCTGAGACCTGGGGGACAGCGAGGCCAGCACTGGGCCTCCAGTCCCAGCAGCCTGGCGTGGGGGACGGTCTGGGGACGGTGGTGGCCGCTGCCCTGACCTGCAGGACACCCAGGCATCCACCAGCACCCGGGAGGGCCCCGAGCCAGGCCATGGAGCCGGCAGGGGCCGGGTGGAAAGAAAAAAGAAACGTTTCTTTGAAAGTGATTCCGAAGTAGGTTGGCTCGGGCCCAGGCAGCCCAGCGGCGGGGAGAGGGAGACGGAAAGTGTGGGCCAGACTCAGGGAGCGCAGGAAGGACGAGGCTGGGGAGGCCCGGGGTGGAGGCCAGCGTCCTGGGGGTTGCCCCGTCCACACCCCGCCTCTCGGCCCCCCTCCCCGACGCCTCATCCAGATGTTCTTCCCCGTCCCCGGTGGGCGGCGGGGAGTGCCGCAGACATCTACGGTCTTGTGTGTTTTCCTCCTTCGATTTGTTCAGACGGACTCCAGACAAGGGCTGCGCGGGGTTTTAGGTCATCTGGACTGCCAGGAAGTGGAGGCTCAGAGAGGGAGAGCGCTTTTGCTGAGGTCACACAGCACTGGCAGACTGACAGCTGCTTCCCTCCTTGGAGCCCTGGGGACAAGGAAGTTGTCTGTGGAGGATCAGGAGCTGGACTGGAATTCCTTTTACTTTTTTCTTGTTTTTTTGAAGCAGAGTCCTGCTTTGTCACCCGGGCTGGCATGCAATGACACGATCACGGCTCACTGTGGCTTAGACCTCCTAGGCTCAAGCAGTTCTCCCGTTTCAGCCTCCTGGGTAGCCGGAACCACAGGCCTGCACCGCCATGACCAGCGAATTCTTTTGTTGTTTGAGACAAGGTCTCGCTCTGTTGCCCAGGCTGGAGTGCAATGGCGCGATCTCGGCTCACTGCCACCTCCGCCTCCTGGGCTCAAGCGATTCTCCTGCCTCAGCCTCCCGAGTAGCTGGGATTACAGGGTACGCGCCACGATGCCCAGCTAATTTTTTGTATTTTTAGTTGAGACGGGGTTTTGCTATGTTGGCCAGGCTGGTCTCAAACTCCTGACCTCAAGTGATCTGCCTGCCTCAGCCTCCCAAAGCGCTGGGATGACAGGCGTGAGCCACCGCACCTGGCTATTTTTTTGTGTTTTTGTAGAGGTGGGGTATCGCTATGGTGCCCAGGCTGGTTTTGAACTCCCGACCTCAGGTGATCCACCTACCTCGGTCTCCCCAAGTGCTGGGATGACAGGCGTGAGCCACTGCGCCCGCTTCCTTTCTTCCCCATCCCTCCCCTCCTCCCCGTCTTCTCTTCTCCTGGTTCTCTCTTCACTGGACGCAGCCATGGGCAGGAACTTCCACTCTCCTTTTTCTTCTTTTTTGAGACAGAGTCTTGCTCTGTCGCCCAGGCTGGAGTGCAGAGGTGGGATTTCAGCTCACTGCAGCCTCCAATTCCCAGCTTCAAGCAACTCTGCCTCAGTTTCCCCAAGTAGCTGGGATTACAGGCGCGCGCCTCCATGGGTGGCTGAGTTTTGTGTTTTTAGTAGAGACGGAGTTTCACCTTGTTGGTCAGGCTGGTCTTGAACTCCTGACCTCTTAACCTGCCTCAGGCTCCCAAAGCGCTGGGATTACAGGCCACCACGCCCGGCCTCTGCTTTTCTTTTCCATTCTTTCTCCTTTCTTTTTGTTTTTTTTCTTTCCTTGACAGGGTCTCGCTCTGTCACCCAGGCTGGAGTGCAGTGGCGCGATCACGAGTCACTTTAGCCTCGACCTCCTGGGTTCAAGTGATCCTCCCACCTCAGCCTCCCAAAGTGCTGGGATTGCAGGATGAGCCGCCAGTCCTGGCCACTATCCCTGCTGTGTGAAAACTGAGGCCTAGAGGGGCACAGTCACTTGCCCAAAGCCCGCAGGCCGGGCACCCTGGCCCCAGCAATGGTTAACCCAGGCTGGTCAGCAGGAGCAGGGAGTCCAGCCAGGAAGGGACCTTCTCACCAGAGTCCACAGTCCGTGCTGTCCCCGGATGAGCCCCAGGACCCCAGGAATCTGCACAAACCCTCCCAGGCCCTAGTTCCAGGGAAACCGCCAGGAGAGGGAGGTTTTGGTTTCACTTCTCCAATTCCAGCTGCCCGGGGCGGTCCCAGGGTCTGGGGGTGAGGTCACCTCCGGAGCCTGGAGGGAGGAAGGAGGTCCAGCCGCCAGGCTTGGTACAGGCGTCCCTCCAGGCGCCCTAGGTGGGGAGGAGAGCAGTGCGGGGCTGCAGGGAAGGAGCCTGGCTCCCGCTCACTCTGGAGGCCTCAGTTTTCCCATCAGGAAAACAGGATGACACCCACGCCTCCAGGCTGCGTCGGTCAGGTCCACGGTTGTAATAATCAGTCACTCAGAAGGTCCTGAAGTAACCGGGGCGCAGTGGTTCACGCCTGTCATCCCAGCTCTTTGGGAGGCCAAGGAGGACGTATCACCTGAGGTCAGGAGTTCAAGTCCAGCCTGGCCAACATGGTGAAACCCCCGTCACTACCGAAAATAGAAAAATGAGCTGGACATGGTAGCAGGTGCCTGTAACCCCAGCTACATGGGAGGCTGAGGCGGGAGGATCGCTTGTACCTGGGAGATGGAGGCTGCAGTCAGCCGAGATTGCACCACTGCACCCCAGCCTGGGTGACAGAGCCAGACCCGTCTCAAAAACAGAAAAGCGGTACTGAAGTCGTGAGTCCCATGCTGGGCGTCCCCAGGCCTCCTGGAGCCTGCTGTCTGCAGAGGAAAGCCAGGGGACGGACAAAGAATTCCTGGGTGTGCTGAAGTGCGGTAGGGGCAGCAGGGGCCAGCAGAGCAGGGGTTTGAGGAGGTGACAGTCGGTTGAGCTGAGAGGTGAATAGGAGCCGGCCTTGCCAGGGTGTGAGAGAGAGAAGGCTCCGGGCAGAGGCATGGCTGTGCAAAGGCCCGGGGGCAGTTGGAGGAACAGTGAGGAGGCGGTGGCTGGAGCGAGAGAGTGGGGGCAGGTCGCGCAGGGCTCCATGGGCTGCAGGGAGGGTCTGACATTTGTTCCAACGCGTCTGAGGATGTTTTTCTGAGCATGTGAAAAGCCAGGGCTTGGTACAGTGGATTTTGGTTGGGGCAGGAGCTGTTTGCAGACTGGAGGCCCAGTGTTCCAGGGAGTGGTCACCTTAGGAGCTGACAGGGATGGGGTCAGGGAGGGCAGGCTCCAGACCAGCCCCACCAGGGCCTCCCACTCCCCGAGGCCCCGCAGGAGGCTTGACAGTGGCCGAGGGGGAGGAGCGGGAGGAGGCCGTGGCTGTAACTGGGGCACCTGTGTGGGGCAGGTTTCCAGGGAACCTCCTGTGCCCCAGTTCTTCTGACTACTAAGCCCAGGTACTCGGGCCTCAGATTCCCCTTTTGTGGCCAAGGGCCATAAGCGTGGGAAGTGCTGGCTGCAGACCCTGGCTTCTGCCCATGTGCCTGTGTGCATTGGGGGGGGGGGGAGGGTCTCCATCTGTACCTCGGTTTCCCTCTGTCCTCCCTCAGCGTCCCCACCCCGGGAGCCCTGGCTGGTGCGGGAAGACCCTGTGGCTGACCTGCCCTCCCGTCCACAGGCACCGCCTGCGTCCTGCTGTCCTTCCCCTTCATCTTCAGCCCCTGCCTGGGCTGTGGGGCCGCCACGCCCGAGTGGGCCGCGCTGCTGTACTACGGCCCGTTCGTGGTGGTCTTCCAGTTTGGCTGGGCCTCCACGCAGATCTCCCACCTCAGCCTCATCCCAGAGCTCGTCACCAACGACCACGAGAAGGTGGAACTCACGGCACTCAGGTGGGAGCTCGGGCACCGCCCCTGAGGGCGGGGTGGGGCGGGGCTGGCTTATGAGTCCATGACACCACGGACACAGCAGCTGGGGACCGCACAGTCTTTTATGTTCAGTTTTAATTTATGCTATTTATTTGTTTATTTTTTGAGATGGAGTCTTGCTGTCGCCCAGGCTGGAGTGCAGTGGTGTGACCTGGCGTCACCGCAACCTCTGCCTCCTGGGTTCAAACGATTCTCCTGCCTCAGCCTCCCGAGCAGCTGGGATAGTGGCACCCAGCATCAGGCCTGGCTGGTTTTCTTCTATTTTTGTAGAGACAGGGTTTCACCATGTTGGCCAGGCTGGTCTTAAACTCCTGACCTCAGGTGCTCCTGCCTCGGGCTCCCAAAGTGCTGGGATCACAGGTGTGAGCCACCGCGCCCGGCCTTTACGTTTATTTTATTTTAATAAGAGATGGGGTTTCGCCATGTTGGACAGGCTGGTTTCGAACTCCTGACCTCGTGATTCACCTGCCTCGGCCTCCCAAAGTGCTGGGATCACAGGCGTGAGCCACCGCGCCCAGCTACGTTTATCTTTTCAAGAAGGAGGTCTCACTGTCGCCCAGGCTGGGGTGCAGTGGCTCGATCTCGGCTCACTGCAGCCTTGACCTCTGGGCTTGACCAGTCCTCCTGCCTCAGCCTCCCGAGTAGCTGGGATCACAGGAGCGTGCCATCATACCCAGCTGGTTTTTAAAGTTTTCGTGGAGATGGGGTCTTGCTCTATTGCTCAGGCTGGGGACTCTCGGGCTCAAGGGATCCGGAAGTGCCGGGGTTACAGGCACAAGCCACTGCGCCTGGCCGTTGCACGTTCTCCTCTCAGTTTCTAGGGCTCAGGAGTCCAGTGTGGCTGAGCTGGGGGCGGGAGTTGTGCTTCAGGGTCTGTCTGGAGCCTGCATTCACGGGGTTGCTCAGGCCTGGGGTGGTACCTCCTCCAGGGTTGATGGTGGAATTTGTCATCTTCCACCTGTGGAAGTCACGGTGGCTGGCTGTTGCTTCTGAGGCCAGGAGGGAGAATCTCTGATTTCAGGAAGCCCTAAATCCTGTCTCCCAAAGGATCCGCTGATTCAGCAGGCCCACCCACAAGTCTCCCCTCTTTTTATATTTTTGAGACAGAGTCTTGCTCTGTCGCCCAGGCTGGAGTGCAGTGGCGCGATCTCGGCTCACTACAACCTCCGCCTCCCAGGTTCAGGTTGAAGCAGTTCTCCTGCCTCAGCCTCCTGAGTAGCTGGGACTACAGGCGCGCGCCACCACGCCCGGCTAATTTTTGTATTTTTAGTAGAGATGGGCTTTCACCATGTTGGCCAGGCTGGTCTTGAACTCCTGACCTCAGGTGATCTGCCTGCCTCGGGCTCCTGAGCCGCTGGGATTACAGGCTGAGCCACCGCACGGCCCCTTGACTCAGCTTCTTCAACCCTCCTTGTGAACTGGGAGGTGGGAACTGTTTCTTCCTGAGTGTTCCAGAGGAGGACACGGCCCCAAATGGTGGCCAAAGCCAGGGTCCCCACAGTGCCTTCGTCAGGAGGGGGCTGTGGGGGGAGCCCGCTGTTTGCCCCCCTGCCTGTGTCAGCAGCTCCGCCCACTCTGGCCTCCCCCCTTGGCTTTCGGTTCCCCATTATGGCTGAGACAGATGCAGGCACTAACGACAGGGGTTTCCCAATACCCAGGGCCCCTGAGGGCCGGACCCCAGCCACTTCCTGTGTCGCTTTGCCAGCTGATCTCCTGCTGTGCTCACGTGGCCTCGAGGTGACATGGTTCCTGCTTTCAGAAAGGGAGGCCCCCTGCCTGTCTGGGCTTCTAGACCAGGGAGCCCTTGCCTTGCAGCCGCCCGGCATCTGGGGAAGGCTTATTCCCGAATCCTGGCTCCCGAGCCTCTGGGTTCTCAGACTTCTGTGTCGCAGCCTGGACTCTGCTTGGCTGAGTAACTGCACCCTGGTCCTAGGCAGGAAGAGGGAAGCTGCGGGTCACAGCTGCCCCGTGTCAGATAACTGGCAGGCTGGGGAAACTGAGGCCAGCACAGGTATCCTGGAGGCCACCCAGTGCGGCGGTGGCTGGAATCTCCCAGCAGTCGGGGTTCCGCAAGGTACTGTGCCAGCGCTGCCACCCGGGGAAGAAGGACCTGGGTTCCCAGAGTCCTGCTGAGTCCCTGCCCGCCTGCCCGCCAGGTACGCGTTCACCGTGGTGGCCAACATCACTGTCTACGGTGCTGCCTGGCTCCTGCTGCACCTGCAGGGCTCGTCGAGGGTGGGGCCCGCCCAGGACATCAGCGTCAGTGACCAGCTAGGGGGCCAGGACGTGCCCGTGTTCCGGGTGAGCTGGGGCCTGGTGTGTTGCCTGAAGTCCTCGAGCCTGGGGCGGCCTGGGCCAGCTGCTGCTGACCACTCTGCCGCGTTCCCAGAACCTGTCCCTGCTGGTGGTGGGTGTCGGCGCCGTGTTCTCACTGCTGTTCCACCTGGGCACCCGGGAGAGGTGCCAGCTGCATGCGGAGGAGCCGGGCGAGCACAGCCCCCTGTTGGCCCCCGCGGTTGCCCAGCCCCTGCTGCTCTGGAAGCACTGGCTCCGGGAGCCGGCTTTCTACCAGGTGCGTGCTGGGGGGGACAGGGCCAGCTCAGACCTCTCCTCCCACCCTTCGGCCCCTGGTGCCGCCCATGCCCGGGGCAGATATCGCTCATGAAGCACTGCTCTCTGCTCTTCCACCTCAACCCACTGGGCAGTCACTACCAATGGATCAAATGCCAGCTGCAGGGCACCCATCCAGGCCCCGGTGCCCCCTGCTGGTGGGAGTGGACAAGGGCCCCCTGACCCCTGCCGGTCCCTCTGCTGGTCTGCCCACAGGTGGGCATGCTGTACATGACCACCAGGCTCATCGTGAACCTGTCTCAGACCTATATGGCCATGTACCTCACCTACTCTCTCAACCTGCCCAAGGTAAGTGGGTTGGGACGGGGGCGCTGGGGTGGGACGGCCGCAGCCTGGCAAGCGGTGAGGGACACGCCGGGCCCGGCTCTGCCCCTGCAGAAGTTCATCGCGACGATTCCCCTGGTGATGTACCTCAGCGGCTTCTTCTCGTCCTTCCTCATGAAGCCCATCAACAAGTGCATCGGGAGGACCGTGAGTGGGCGGGGCAAGTGCGCCGGGAGGACCGTGAGTGGGCGGGGGGGGGCAAGTGCGCCGAGAGGAACGTGAGTGGGCGGGGGGGGGGGGCAAGTGCATCGGGAGGACCGTGGGTGGGCGGGGCAAGTGCATCGGGAGGACCGTGAGTGGGCGGGGCCCTGCAGCCGGGAGGGGCTCCAGCCTCAGATGCTCCCAGGCCCCCGAGTTCCCGCCTTGTGGGAACCAGGCGGTCTGGAGCCCTGGCCTCTGCGAGTCTCGAGTTCACACTGTCGTGGCGGCAGAGCTCTGGAGCTTTGCGTCCTCCCTGTCCAGCTACTGAGCACTTGGAATGTGGCCGAGGGGACTGAGCTGAGTCCCTCGTTTGCTTTTGTGTACCTGACCTGCCATTAGGCGGAAATAGCCACGTGGCTCCAGCTACTACCACGTGGACAGAGCACAGCTCCGCGTGGCAGTTCTCCTGGGCCTCAGAGCCGGGCTCCTTAATGACCGTCCAGCTCACGCCCTGTTTGCTGGGGTGGGGGTAGTGGATTGAAGACCAGAGAGGGCAAACGCTGCGCTCAGGGGCACCCAGTGGCGTGGGCCAGACCCCAGGGCTGTCCCCTGCAGATGACCTACTTCTCGGGCCTCCTGGTGATCCTGGCCTTCGCTGCCTGGGTGGCGCTCACGGAGGGGCTGGGCGTGGCCGTGTACGCAGCGGCTGTGCTGCTGGGTGCGGGCTGTGCCACCATCCTCGTCACCTCGCTGGCCATGACGGCCGACCTCATCGGTCCCCACACGGTAAGGCTGGTGGCCGGGGTGGGGGTGGCTGGGTGTGGAACTCGGGGTACACACTGACCACCCGTGTTCCCGCAGAACAGCGGAGCGTTCGTATATGGCTCCATGAGCTTCTCTGATAAGGTGGCCAACGGGCTGGCAGTCATGGCCATCCAGAGCCTGCATCCCTGTCCGTGAGTGCCATCCATTCGCTCATTTGTTGAGGAAGAGGGTTCAGACACGGATGGGTGTAGACACAGCCTCCCAGCATTCACGCCTGTAGAGGCCTGGACCTGGGAACCAAAGCCAGTCTGGGCCCTGACGTCACAGCGCTGGGGCAGAGCCAGCTATGTTAATGGTCACAGAGGTGAACGTGTGGTCAGGACTAGGGTGTTAAGGTGAACGCCTTTACCCGGGAGAGGCCTGGGCAGCCAGGACAGGATGCCGGGGAGGGCTTCCTGGAGGAGGTGACATGGACCTGACACTTGCAGGAACTCAAACCGTTCCAGGTCGATGGGGCGGGGCCACACATGGTGTGTTGGAGGAGCAGGGACCAGGAGACTGGTGTGGCTGGAGCACAGGGAAGAGGGGGAGGGGGCAGGTCGTGCAGGGCCTGGTGGGTCATGGGGAGGGTTTTGACCCGAGGAGGGTAGCCTGTGGCAGAGGGACAGGCACTCACAGGTGCCCTCTGGTGGGGGTGAGGGGACTGGGCGGGTGCAGGTGCTGGGCACCACTGGGCCTGGACCAGGTGGAGACTGGGAGGGAGAAGCGGTGGATGCGGGATGGAGAGGACTGGCCATGCTGTTGGGTGTGGGGAAGGAGGTGCGGGGGGTCTGCCCCCCACTCACAGCTCGGACAAGAGGAACAGGTCCAGATGGGTGGGGACATCCCTGTGGTGCCCACTAGGCCCCTGCCTCCTCCCGCAGCTCAGAGCTCTGCTGCAGGGCCTGCGTGAGCTTCTACCACTGGGCGATGGTGGCCGTGACGGGCGGCGTGGGCGTGGCTGCTGCCCTGTGTCTCTGCAGCCTCCTGCTGTGGCCCATCCGCCTGCGACGCTGTGAGTCCTGGCCCACCCCTCCCTTCTCTAACACCAGGGGCAAGTGTGGGGCCCACCCCCCCTTCTCTAACGCCATTTCCACCCCTCCCTGGCAGGGGACCCAGAAGCCCAGCCCTGACGGCCTCCTGCACCTGTGCAAGGGAAATGTGGGGACACACGAGGACGCCCCCAACGCCTAGGGGCGAAGCCCCCCCCGCCCCTCGCTATTCTCCGGCCCCCCATCCCCCCACCCCCCACCCTCACTGGCTCCCGGAGATGGGAGTCAGGGTGAAGGCAGCGGGAATGCCTACCAGGGCCTTCTGAATCCAGAGGTTTGTAGGGACCCCTGGGCTTTTAGGGTGCCCCGTTCTCAACTCTAATCCATCTCAGTCCTGTGGAGGATTTGGAGTGCCTCTCTCGGCAGGAAGTAGGAACCCCTGAGGGGTCTGGGGGAACCCTAACCCCAGCACAGTTCACCCCTCACCTCTGGCCTGGGGATGGCTGGAGCCTGCAGGAGCCCCAGCCATGGAGTAGTGGGTTGGGCCTGGACCCTGCCATGGTGGGCAGCGGGGCTGCCCGGGGGGCTTGGTGGACTCTGCTGGCAGCAATAAAGAGATGAAGGCAGCCTGGCTCCTGTCTGCCAGGCGGGGGTGGCCCGGAGCAGGGGTAGCTTGGGCATCTCGGCTGTGCCCTAGTTGTGGGTAGCCACCCTCTTTTGGGTGTGTCATGGAAGCATGTGTTTATCGGGGAGTAGGCGTGGGGCCAGGTGGGAGCCACTGGCCGGTGGAGGGGCAGTATGGCTCCAGGCCCCACTGCAAGTAGTTCTGGGTGGTGTGGGGTGGGCGCTGGGGCGCTGACAGGAAGGGCACGTAGTCTGATGCACTCCACAGAGGCTCCACCCCGTACTGATTCCTGTTGACCACTGCAGGTGGGACCCGGGTCACTGTGTGCTCCCCCTTCCTCACCCCCAGCCAGCAAGGGGCTCCCTGGGCAATTTCACCCTGGCCTAGGTGGCCTTGTCCCCCTGGCCTCCCGGGGAGCTGCCCTGGCCTCACCGTAGTCCTTGCCCAGGATTGGCCTGTCCTTCCACAGCATGCTCCCCCACCGGGTGCTGGGGTCCAGGTACTGGGCGGGGACGATGGGGTCGTGCCAGGCGGTCTCCCGCAGGTGCTGGGTGTAGGCTGCGGTGGGGCAGGGGCTGGCGGTCATTCCCGTCCCCCTCGAGCAGGCCCGGCACCGGGACAGGGAGGGTGGGCACTCACCCGAGGGCAGGCTGCACTCGCGGTGTCGGGAGCAGCCATGCCAGCGGTTGTAGGCCTCACGGAAGGGGCGGTCCAGGGCTGAGGGCAGCTTGTACCAGGCTTCCCGGGAGTCCAAGTTGGTCAGACCCGTGTACCACAGCTGGCCAGCTGCATCGTGTCCCATGGGCGTGTACTTCCAGCGTGTGGCCTGCTTGATGGCCGGTGCCCAGCGTGGCCCCTCCAGGGACAGGTAGTCATCGCTGAGGGTGGAGGGTGTAGAGGCCTGGCCCACGGTGTGGGGCCACCCTCCCTCCCCACTTGGTGTCTGTTCTTTGGCCTTGGACCCCTCACCCCACAGCGGGTGGCAGAGGAGAGAGGCTGACTGCCTCTCTCCCCACACATCCCATCCCCTGAACTTGGTTTGAGATGGAGTCTGGCTGTGTCCCTGGCTGGAGGGCAGCGGCACCTCGTCTCACTGTAACCTCCGCCTCTCAAGTAGCTGGGACTACAGGCACCTGCCACCACGCCCGGCTAATGTCTGTATTTTTAGTAGACAGGGTTTCACCACGTTGGCCTGGTCTCAATCTCTTGACCCTGTGAGCCGCCACCTCAGCCTCTCAAAGTACTGGGATTACAGGCGTGAGCAGCCATGCTCGGCCAGCACTTTCTGATCTGAGCTTTTCTTGCCTGGAGAAGAGACACCAGGGAGGGAAAAGGTCGAGGGCCCTGGACACTCCTGGGTTCCTGCAGCTTTTGTCCAGCATCCAAGACCCACAAGCCCCTTCCTCTGGGGAGCCCCCGTGGCGTGGAGCCGTGGCCCACGGAGGACTAGGGGACCCACTCGGCCAGGCATGTGGCTCATGCCTGTAAACCCAGCACTTTGGGAGGCTGAGGCGAATGTATCACTTGAGGTCAGGAGTTTGAGACCAGCCTGGCCAACATGGTGAAAGCCCATCTCTACTAAAAACACAAAAATTAGCCGGGCGTGGTGGCGCGTGCCTGTAATCCCAGCTACTTGGGAGGCTGAGGCAGGAGAACTGCCTGAACCTGGGAAGTGGAGGTGGCTGTGAGCCGAGACTGTGCCACTGTGCTCCAGCCTGGGTAACAGAACAACAGTCTGTCTCAAAAAAAAAAAAAAAAAAAAAGAAACTCAAAGATGTTTTCATGCTGTGACTTTTGGGAATATGTCCCAAGGAAGTCACCCCAAAGAGTAAGGTGGTTGGCCCCGTGTAGTCCCAGCAGGGCTAGAAACACTCTCTTCTGTGCCTTGTGTGGGAGCAGTCCCGGCTCTCCACTTTGGGAGGCCAAGGTGAGTGGATCACCTGAGGTCAGGAGTTCGAGACCAGCCTGGCCACCATGGTGCAACCCCGTCTCTGCTAAAAATATAAAAGCTAGATAGGTGTGGTGGAAGGGGCCTGTGGTCCCAGCTACTCGGGAGGCTGAGGTAGGAGAATTGCTTGAACCTGGGAGGTGGACGTTGTAGTGTGCCCAGATCTCGCCATTGTGCCCAGTCTGGGCAACAGAAACGGAGTCCATCTCAAGAAAAACATGCAATTAAAACAGAGCAATATTCGGTGAGAAATGAGCCCCTCTCCCTGCTGTTGGCCCCATCCCCACCTGCCACTCACTCCTTCCAGGAGCAGGTGGGAAGTGCACCCTCCGCCCTGTCACTCCACTCACGGGAGCCCGGTTCACTGCATCTACTTGCTTTCTTTTTTTTTCCAGTAGAAATAGTCTCACTCTGTTGCTCAGGCCGGCGTGCAGTGGCACAATTTCAGCTCAGTGCAGCCCTGACCTCCTGGGCTCAAGCAGTCCACACCCCTCAGCCTCGCAAGGAGCTGAGATTACAAGCATGTGCCACTATGACCAACTATTTTGTGTATTTTTAGTAGAGACGGGGTTTCACCGTGTTGGTCAGGTTGGTCTCCAAGTCCTGGCCTCAGGTGATAATGCCCGCCTCGGCCTCCCAAAGTGCTGGGATTCAGGCATGAGCCGCCATGCCTGGCCATCTGGCTGGTTTTTAAATGTTTTGTACAGCTGGGTTTCACGGCTGGGTGCGGTGGCTTATGCCTGTAATCCCAGCACTTTGGGAGGCGGAGGTGGGTAGATCACCTGAGGTTAGGAGTTCAAGACCAGCCTGGCTAACGTGGTGAAACCCCATCTCTGCTAAAAATGTAAAAATTAGCTGGGCATGGTGGGAGGCACCTGTAGTCCCAGCTACTTGGGAGGCTAAGCCAGGAGAGTCATTGAACCCAGGAGGCGGAGGCTGCAGTGAGCCGAGATTGCACCTTTGCACTCCAGCTCAGACAAGAACAAAACTCTGTCTTTAAAAAAATAAAAGAGATGGGGTCTCACTATGTTGCCCAGGCTGGGCTCAAGTGAACCTCCCAAAGTGCTGGGGTTGCCGCTGTGGGCCACCACGCCTGGCCACCATGTTGGTTTGTTTTGATTTCTTCCCTTGGAAATGCAGCAAAGGGCTTTCCCTCTTCTTTCCCATGGCTGCACAGTATTCCATGATCGTTTACACAGCTGCTAATAGGCGCTGTATTGGGGTGACTTGTACCTTCCAAATCACACCTGCCCAGACAGGACATGGCCTTGTTTGGAAATGGCTTTAGTAGCTGCAGCTGAGAAGAGGTTAACCCCATGTTAAGGTGGCCCCGAATCCAGTGCCTGGTGCCCTTCTAAGGAGAGGGAAACGTGGACGCACACAAGGAGGCCAGGTGAAGACAGAGGCAGGGACCAGGAGTGCCTGGGGGCTGCGAGGGGTGCAGGGCAGGCTCTGCCTCAGCCACAGGAGGACCCAGCCCCGCGCACGCCTGATTTCAGAGCGCGTTTTTGTGGTGAAAACTCCCAGTGCATCTGCAACCTTGGAAACAGCCACAGACACTTGCTCTCGGCCCATCTCCAAGTCTGTGGCTGCCACAGTGATTGACCACAGGCCAAAGGGGCCAGGAGGAGCCATCGCACACATTAGCCTTTTAGGAATAATGATTGACACATGCAAGACCCCAAAGTGACACCTGACACCCGGGTGATACCTTACACCCCAGGAGGGAAGGTCCCTTAGGTCTGGCTGGCTGGGAGGGACTCACCTGTAGAGAGGTGCTGGGAAGCTGGTCTCGAGGGTCCCCGTGGGGACATAGGGCCTGGTAGCCTCTCGCGTCAGGGTCTGCATGTCTGCCTGTCTGCCCGGGTCCCCAGGGCTCCTGCCAGGAAGGCCTCTGAGGCCACCGCTGACAGCATAAAGGCTACCCAGTGTCCTGGCAACCGTGCTGACTGCAGGGTACGGTGTCCTGGCAACCGTCCTTCTTCCCAACTGCAGGGTGAGGCGGCCCCAAGGAAGGGGAGGGCTGGAGAGTTGTTGGAAGTATCTGACAACTGAGGGTGACACAGCGTGGGCAGGCAAGGCCAGGGCCACTGCCAGGTGGGGTCTGTGGCCATGAGCCCCCAGCTCTGCACCTCCAGCTCCATGCGCCGCCCCTCCCCGACCTGGGGCCTAGCCTCCCCATCTCCACACCCCCTTGAGGGGCTTCTGTCTCCCCGTGCACCTCCCATCCAGGGGGCAATGCCCGCACAGGTACCTGGTGCCCCAGCCCCTCCCCTCATCCACTCGTATGCAGTCCATTTGTAAAATACACTCAGGATGAGACTGGCACGCGGCGCCTGACAGCACGGTTCGAGACAGCCCAAGGCAGAGACCACGCAAACACCCAGAGGGTGAGGGGGTCAGCAGCGCGTGGCCACCCACACGACAGAACAAGTCTCAGCCACGAGGAGGATCAAGGCTCTGACCCGGGCCACAGCGAGGATGCACCCTGAGGACGTCATGCTCAGCGAGAGACACGACAGAGAAGGGCACACTGTGATCCCATTTCTATGAAATGTGCAGGGCAGTCTGAACCAGAGGCACAGAGAGGATTCGTGGGTGCCAGGACTGAGGACGGGGACCTGGGGATGACTAGGTGATGTGATGCGGACGGGGCTGCCTTTTGGGTGATGAGAATGTTCTGAAATCAGAGGCGATGGCTGCACAGCCACAGAATTGCTCACTGTAAGATGGTGGATTTTGTGTGTACTTTTACCACAATAAAAAACAACCAGGAAGCATCCAGAACACTCCTGCCCTGCTCCCCTCAGCCAGAGGGCCCCGTCTTGGCTCAAATCCGGCCTGGGTGGGGGCAGAGCCTGCACCCCAGTCTCAGCTTCCCCTGCCCCTGCGTCAGGTCCCCCCAGAGCCAACCCTGCCTGTCCCAGGGCACACACCCAGGGTCCCCACTCGCTTGGGGTAAGTGCCCAAGTCTTTCCTGAGGCCCACCAGACACTGCCTGCCCTGCCCTCCTCACTCTGCCCCTCCCACACACTGGGCGCTGTCCTGCCCTGGGGTCTTTGCATGGCTGTGCCCTCTGCCTGGCACCCAGGCGTCCCTGCCTCCTCCAGCCCTGGCTGAAATGCTAGGCTTGTGGTGAGCCCCTAATCCAAGACCACCTTTTCCCAGGCCCTCCCCGTCCTTGTGGCGCTGCTGCCCTGTGTCCTCATGAGCTCCTGTCTCCGGGCTGCCCACCATGCCCGCTCCACACAGGTGTTCCCTCATCTCCAGTGCCCAGGATGGGACCTGCCTCTTCTTAGGCACCGTGCAAAAGTAAGCCTCAAAACCACCTGGGGAACTTCCTGCAGCCCCTGGCCCCTGGGCTGCCTGCCTCCCCCAGCCTCCCCCAGCCCCAGCAAGGCGCCAGCACCCCCGGGCCAGGCTCCCGCCTCCTGCACCTGTCTCACTGCAGGACCTGCAGCCCTTGATTTTTTCTTCTCAATTTTCTTTCCCTCTCAATGTAGCTATGTTCTAGGATCGACGGAAACACTGCAGCCCACCCCATGGGGACCTTGGGCAGCCTCTCCCTACATTCAGGCATCTCCCAGCCACTGCCAGGGTTGGCCCTGGCAGCGATGGCCCCACTGGCCTTGCTCTGTCACATGGAGAGGGCAGCGGAGACACCTGCCCCAGTGCTGCTGTGTGACCCACGTGCTCCCTTGGGGACCCTCCAGCCCCTGTCGGCTGTCCTGGCCTGTGGGGAACCAAAGCCCCCATTCTACACAAGCCCTGCCCCATCACCACGGGCCCCTCCCACCATCACAGCCTTCACCCCACTTGCTCTGTCCCTCCTGGCCCCCATCTACCACCCCTGGGGTGACCTCAGCCCAGCAATGCCTCCAGCCTCCCTCCCTGGTGTCCACTGAGGGGGTCAGGCGAGCACCTCCTCCCCAGAACAGGGCCATCCGGCTGGGACGCAGGGACTCACGGCTCCAGAGGACTGTGGCCGGTGCCCTGGTGTACGGGCCCAGGAGGGGTCTCTTGCGGGATTCAAGGGCTGAGTTCCCCATCTGTGAAATGCTGGCCTGAGAAGCCCCTCAGAAGCTGCTTCTGCAGCTCCAGGGCCAGACGGGCTCCAGGGCAGGACCATGTAACCCTGCCCTAGCTGGGAACCCTCACAGCCAGCCCCAGCCACAGGTGAATCCACGTGTTTAATGACAGTGTCACCGCATGACATGAGAAACAAGGCCTTCCTGTCCTGGGGGCTCCTCCACCCCCCGAGTGGACAGAACCAGCCCCCAACACAAGTCCTCCCACCCTGACCTGTGGCGGTTTCCAGTCCCAGGAGGGGTTGCTGGAGGTCCACATGGGTTGTGCACTGAGCCGGCAAGGGCCTGGCGCCCATGGCGACAAGGCTGATCTTTGGCAACTGCATGGGCCACTGTGGGTAGCGCGTGCGTGGGCAAAGGCAGGGGTTGTTTTCTTATTAAAAAAAAACAGGTGAAACAGTAAGACCTTGACCACTCAAAATCCACACTGCCACGCGCACCGGCCCCCACTTTGCAGGAGGGCCGAGAGGGGTCCGCAACCTGCCCCGAGAAAAGTGGAGACAGCCTCTCCAGCAAATGTGGAAGATCGGCCCACTTGAAATGACAGGGCTTTAAAACTGGGATCCTGACCCCCCAGGAGCGTTGGGCGGGTCCAGGCCCCCGACCCTCCTCACCCAGCCTCAGACATTTCCAGGACCAGTCAACAAAAACACAAAACAAATCCAAAGAAAAGTCACAAATACGTATGTACACATGCACACCAACCCCGCTGGGGACGCCAGGCTGTCAGGACACGGGGTGCAGGTTCCCAAGCACAGCAGGGTGGCGGATGGGACCCTCCAACCCCAGCCTGCCCCACCCTCTCCATGTCCCTACCGATGAAATGGGAAGCGGGGGCAGAGCGACGGGCAGGGGCCATGCTCAGCTCAGGCTCCACTCCCCGGCCTTGCCCCCCTCCCTGCCTGCCGCCTGGCCTGGGAGCACGAGAAGCTTCTGGAAGGACAAAGGGCGCCCACCTCCTGGACCCCTCGGGTCTCCCTGGCTTCCCCACAGCCACCAGCGCTGATGGACAGGACAGGCCGAGATACGGGCGGCAGCTACAGTACTGCTGGCCTCCACAGGACCCAGCCGCCCAGCAGGCTCGGGGAATGCGAGTCTCACGCCGCAAGCAAGGGGGACGCTGGACACCTTGAGGGCACGAGTTGGCGAACACACAAGGACGCGGCACCTGTCACACTCCTCTCTAGCCAGCGTGGTGAGCAGGCCCGGCATCAGTTCTCCCAGGGGGATGAGTCCAGAGCAGATGTCCTCCTCCGGTGTGAGGGTAATGCTTGACTGGGACGCACTGGCCCGTCCGAAGCCCACTGCCTGCCAGGCGACAGCCATGACACAGACGCTTCCAGAAAGATCACTGTTTGGAGAAGTGACAGCAGAGGTGGCTGCAAGGTGAAGTCCAGGTCGGAAGTGTCTCCTGCATCCACAGGCCCTCGGGTCTCGGACTGGCCTGAGTCCAACACAGAGCGGGGCTGCAGCTGTGAACCGGCAGCCGGGGCGTCTGGTCTGTTCCGTGCAGATGTGGGCAGTTCCAGGAAGAGCATGCGGCCTCGGCAGGCAGGTGCGGAATAGACAGAAGCAGTGAGGGTCCCAGGGGGCATCCATTGCTCCGAGCACAGACAGTCCGAGCTGAGGCTGTCCAACATGGTTCTTGCCCTCTGAGAAGTGGGACGGAGCCCCCGATGCTGAGGGTCCCCGAGCACGTGCCCGCCCCAGATACTGGTGGACATGGTTCACAATCAGGTGTTTAATGAGACTCCAGGATCCTCCAGGCCCAGCTCCCCGCCCGCCCGGCCGCCTTCCTCAGGGGACAAGCGCTGGAAGGGCAAGGTCCGTGCAAGCTGAGGAGCTGGGCTCCTCTGGTCCTGCTCGGCGGGTCTACCGGATCCTAGTGAAGAGGTTGAGCACAGACACAGATTCCTGCAGACACATGGGGTGGGTGATGCTGAGCCACAGCCCAGGGGAAAGCTGCCTGGAGGGAAACTGAGGCTGTGGGGCTTGGTGGTGAGGGGCTGAGAAGTGCTGGTCCAGCCTTGGCCTGCCACACTACTCCCGACACAGGACCCAGAGTGCGAGGTGAGGGGAGCTCAGAGGTGGGGGAAGCCGGGGGAGGGTACAACCGAGGACACAGTGGGGACAGGGACGGCCCTGGGCCAGGTGGGGGCGGGGGCGAGTGGTGCTGATACCGACCCACTTTACCTTTGTCGAACGGGTTTTGCTAAAGACGTTCCAGAACCTCAGGGTCTCATCTCCAGCACCAGTGACGATGGCCTCCCCATCAGGGGACATTGCCTGTGGACAGGAGGGAAGCACCCCATGTCTCTGGGTCTCTGAGGTGCCTCGGGGCCAGTGCTAGGGGACTGAAGGAGGGGAGCAAGGTGTGGGGTGGCTGGGTCCCGCAACCCATGTTGCATTGCCAGAGCTCAGACTCTAGGGCCAGGAAGGAGGGGCAGGCCAGGGTCACCATGGGCAGAAACCAGGTTGGAGCCTTTTTTTTAAGCCGGGATCTGGCTGTCACTCAGGCTGAAGTGTGCAGTGGGGTGATCCTGGCTCACTGCAGCCTTGACCTCCCGGGCTCAGGTGATCCTCCCACCTCAGCCTCCTGAGTAGCTGTGACTACAGGTGCACACCACCACACCTGGCTCATTTAAAAGAATGTTTTGCAGAGATGGGGTCTTGCTGTGTTGCCCAGGCTGCTCTTGAACTCCTGGGCTCAAGCCATCTTCCCACCTTGGTTTCCTGAAGTGCAGGCATTACAAGCGTGAGCCACTGCACCTGGCCAAGGTTGGAGCATTTTTTCTAAAACATCGAGGACAC